GTGTGTCTGTGTGTCTGTGTCTGCCTGTGTATGTGTCTGTGTGTGTCTGTGAGTGTGTCTGTGAGTATGTCTGTGTGTGTGTTTCTGTGTGTGTGTCTATGTATGTGTGACTTGTGTGTCTGTGTGTGTGCCTGTGTGTGTGGTGTGTGTGTCTGTGAGTGTGTTTCTGTGTGTGTATCTATGTGTGTGTGCCTGTGTGTGTCTGTGTGTATCTATGGGTGTGTGTGTGTGTGTGTGTGTGTGTGTGGTTTGTTTGGATGCACTTCCCTGTGCATGTGGAAGCCAGAGGATGATGTCTTGTAGCCTCCTCTATTGCTCTTTGACTGATTCCTTCATAACAGTGCCTGACTGTGACCTTGAAGCTCACTGGTTTGGCTAGGATACCTGACAGATCTTTGGGGTGTACCGTCTCCCTTTGTAACTGTTCCCATGCCCTGCTCTACATCACTGGATGCTGGCTATTGCAACTCAGGAATCAGCAGGCACAGTGGATTGCTGTGGCCATGATCACACACTCAGTGTCGAAGCTTGACAAACTCGATTGTCTCCAGTTTGTATGGTGTTACCATCACAGCTGTCTCTTCATGGATAGCTGTGTGATGCTCCCTGACTCTTAGGACCATTCTCACATGGAACAGATGTTGCTGTGTGGATTTGGAGTAGGTCGAGTAAAGTCCAGGCATGTATGCAGGAGAGCACTTACTCGGCTTACAACTCGCTTCTGTCTCAGTCCTTCTATCCTGTATCTTGGTTCCCCAATTCTGTTGAACAAAAAAATAGATTATATCTAAGATATGAAAAAGTAAATGACTATACATATATTCTTGGTAAGGTAATACCATGGAGCTGCTTCATAGCAATTTATTCCATTATATAAACATAAAGATGATGAAAATTACCTTAAAAAGAAACACCAAGTAACTAATGCAAAAAGTCATATCTGAAACATGTTAAACTATCACACAGAGAGCCCAGTTCATCCAATAATCACAATCCCCACCATAGTCTTCTTCAATTTCAAACTCTGCAGGTCACCTTGGTATTAATCTACTTTCTCCCAAATACAGACTCCACAGTGTATGTCCCTGTAATATGTAAAAGTCCTTTATCTATTCCTGTGATCCCCTGAGGACTCCAACATGGAAATACTCTTGTGAACATGTTCCTCATCCAAAGTGACAGTGACAACTTCTAACCATGGAGTCAAGAGGCAGGACCCAAAAGCAGGGAGTTGTCGACAGCAGTTGACAAGTTACTCTTAAGAAGGAGTTGATGAATCTCTAGGGAGTCCTTGGCAGCTCTACCTACAGATGGACATCCTCTTTCTCCCTCCACAAGTCCTGCAGAACTCAAAGGAGCTGACATGTCAAGATGCTTTGGGCTGTTGAGCTGTGTGTGCCCCTGCTAAACACAGATCTTGCTCGAGTGGGAATAAGAACTGGTTTATTCTGCACCAATTAAGAGTGACCATGGTCTGTAACATGGATTCAGGTTGCCCCAAGAGTCATGTTCTATTGTGGAAGATGTTACCTGAACTTTTGAAGTCAGGCATGAAAAGACAGTCAGAAATCAGTGCATTTACCAAGTTCATTGTTGCTGGTCTCAGTAGGCAGAACAGTAGGTGGAGAATCTCTTCTGTGGATTCAGACACTGTTACAGCATTCCTAGAGGGAGCATGGTTTAAGTTTCACACATACTACTACTTTTCCAGAGAATTTCCTCTGCAGAAGGCTAGAGGGAAAAAACTCTTTGAAACTTGGTGCATGTTGAGCTATGCATCGTTGAGAAGACATGACCTGTGTGGACCTGGGAGGATGCTTCCTCTCTCAGATGAGAAGTGAAGGGAATTGAGTCTTCCAAACTGAAGTCAGTTCTTCTGGGCAAACACTGTTTTAACTGTGAGGAAAACCCTTCTAGGCAACAGATTTCTGCAGAAACCATGCCAGAGTCAAACTGTTTCTTCCTTGATGGCAATTGTCAATACCACAGTCTACATTAGCTCATTAGAAGAACATTCATTCATTCAGTTCAAAATTACAAGGAAATTCTCTCACATGAGTGCTTCACACAAACCGGGAATTGCTTCATATTTTAATTCAACCGGTGGTTATGCATTTCCAGAAAAAAATTAACAATCAGAAATCAAGATGTAAGAGTAAGAAATTTTACAGTGAACAGAGCTGGTTAATGAGGAGAGAACGAGGAGCACACACTGGAACTTTCCACATCATGGAGGAGGAAACCAGGGCGTTGAGGCTGAAAGATGGGGTCTGGGAAAACAGGGAGGTACTGGGAGTGTATCAGAAGGAAAGGTGTGTGTACACATATGTACATTATTATAAACAGCATGGCCCATGAGTATACAGTACATCATGTTTAATACGTATCTTTATATATACTTCCACTTTTAGTTTTGAACTAGGACACTGATCCCTTTATGAAGCATTTGTAAGCCATCAATTCCTTATTGAATTCAGTTGAAATTGTAGATGTGTTGAGGCTACTTTAACAGAGAGCAAAGGTGCTCAATTACTCTGTACTTTTCCACTGACTCTTTCTGTTTTTCCTTGAGGTGTTGGTTTGATATTAGAAGTCTCCACATCTGTTTTATTTTTATTTTATACTTTTCTAGAAAGAAACCCCTGATGTTGGCTCATCGCAATGAACCAAAATTATGATGTCATTGGAAATGAAAGCTGAAGAAAGCGTCATCCAAATGAGACAGCAGTAAGATTCAGTGGAAAAGATCTACATTGATTAAATACAATGATGTTATGAAAGTGACCGTATTTCCCAGGGATCTTCACGTTCAGTACAATCTGTCTCAATTAGGGTTTCTATTGCTGAAAAGAGACACCATGATCACAGCAACTCGTTTAAAGGAAAACCTTTAATTGAGGTTGGCTTACAGTCACAGAGGTGTAGTCCATTTCCATCATGGTAGGAAACACGGCAGCAGGTCAGCAAATATGGTACTAAAGAAGGAGCAAGAGTTCTACACCTTGGTCTACGGGCAGCATAAGGAGACTGACACACTAGGCCTACTTTGAACATGTAAAACCTCAAAGCCCAACTCTACAGTGACACACTTCCTACAACAAGGCCCCACCTACTCCAACAAGGCTGCACCTCCTAACAGTGCCACTCCCCAAAGGGCCAAGCATTGAAACACATGAGTCTATGGGGCCATTCATATCAAACCACCACACAAATCAAATGATAATTTGAATTATTTTTCTCCCAGAATTATCACTTTTAAAATACATATGGAGCCATGCAGATACCTAAGTATAAATGTAGTGTCATATTGGTGGTGTCACAATACATGAGTTCAAATTACAGGTATATGTGTAAGAAAGCATCACTGCAGGATTATAACCCCTTACCACGCAAGCCTCTTGCAGTGGATGGCAATAAACACAGAGACCCACAACTGATCAATGAGCAGAAAGTAAAGGGCTGACTTCCCAACCCCAAGGACCATTGCAGAAGAGGGAGCAGAAGAGCTGTGAGGCCAGAGGCTAGTGGATGACTGCAGCAGAGCAGGGGTCTTGGACTGAATGAACTAGACCAAGCCACACAAAATCCCAGCTTGGAAAATAAGGAAATTCTACCTCTCACTGAGGAACTATGGGAACTGGTGGCTGCTGAAAGACAGATTGAGTTATCATCAGGATTGGGGCCCCAGAGAGAAGCTATCCAAGCTGCAGGAGATGGCCCTGTAACCATGCACAACTAGGAGGACTAAGACAGAGAAGGAAAAAAATGAGGAGAAGGGAGAGGAGGAAAATCCCATGAATCTGAGGTGGAATAGTGCTGTTTCCAATGATTGGCTTTAGAGGCATTTCACTTCCCTGGTGGGATTTAGTCTGAGAGATGTTTCCAGAGGTTATTAAGAAAGGGCTGATTTCTTCCTGGTATGTTTGTCTGTGATAAATTTTCTGTGATCTATTTTTATAGCTGTACATGATGTCATTCATATTTAGAATACAAAACTGTTAAACTCATAGAAGTTGTGAGTAGAGGAAAGGGAACAGAGGTTAGTGAGGTCTGAGGGAGGATTAACTGAGAAATATATGTCAAAGAAGACTAAGTCACAGTCTCACAGGAGCTCAGTTCTCTGGCTTCTTACTGGACAGCATGCTGATACACATACAGAGAATACTGTGGTGCGATAGTGTTTATAATTTATTAAGCTTGCCTGGCGATTCAGAAAGCAAAGTCAGTCACAAGCCATAGAAGCCAGGCACACGACTTTAATCCCAACAGCCAGATCCTAAGAGGTACACACCTTTAATTCTAGGATTCATGATTGAGAGGGAGAGGGATCTCTCTGACTTCAAGGCCATCAAGGGATGCATGAGAATGAATCAATCTAAATGAGGGACAGATTACTTGTCTTTAAGTAGAGGGGTATAAAAGATAGAAGCAGGGACTTTAGTAGTCAGTATGAGGCATTCATTCTCCAGCCATGCTGAGGAAAGGTTACAGTCTGAGGCTTGGTGAGAGCTCGTGGAGACAGGATCAGCCCATTCAACCTGAGGTAGAGGTAAAAAGCTAGTGACCAGCAGCTTTGCTTTTCTGATATTCAGCTTGAAGTTTGAAACCCAATATCTGTCTCTGATAGTTCATTAATTCATGTTACAGTATACCATATACTGGAGAGAAGTAGAGGGATGAACTTAGGATTTGCCTAAACACTATACATTGTACACATGTATCCAGTGTAAGTTTTCAACACTGTGTACATTTGTATAATTTGTATGGTGTAGAGTATCAATATTAAGAGACTTGAATAATTGAAAAATAAATGAATTAACAAATCAAAAGTGTTTTATACAACAAATATAATAGAAAAGAAAATAATTTAGTTACATATGATAGTTTGCTACATTAAAGAAAATACAAAACTTGAAGGGTTAACTTAAATAACTTAAATTACATAAATAATAAAATAAATAAATACATACATACACAGATGTACACAAATGGATGCAAGAACAAACAATTTTACATATAGACAAAAATTGACTCTGATTTGCTGAAACATATAGGTTAAAATGAGTAAGAGTTTTGAAAGAAGAATTTATGCAATAAGGCGCAGCATCCTGGTCCAGGAGAGTTCCCTCCACTTTGCTCAGGACTTACTCCTCCTCCTCACTCAATCTTGCCAGCAAGTTGGCTGAGGAAGACAGGGCTCTCCAGACTTCTGTTCTGACCACCTCCCAGGCACAGGGGCTGTGGTTCTTCTCTCTCAGGTACACAGTGATCCTGTGGAAGTATTTCCTCACTGCCACCAAGGAGTCCTGCATCCCCACCTGCTGCATCAGACAGACTTGTTGATCATTGAGCAGTTGATGGAGCTCATCGCAGAATGTGTCTAGGAGGGCTGTCTCCCAGGCAGCAGATGAATCCTTTGAAATGAAGAGAATCAGGACCTGCTGGGTCAGCTCCTGCAGGACAGTGATGGCTTGAGCCTTCTGGATCTGCTGGTCATTCACCTTCTCCAGAGGGAATGCAAAGTCCCTTCTGTCCTTCAGGCAGGAGAGAGGGGAGAGTCTCCTCATTTGTGTTAGGAGTGTTAAGGCTCTCTTGTTCCTGAGGTTATGAGTCTGAGGCAGGTCACATCCTAGAGAGCAGGTTGACCAGTAGCTCATCACCACCAAGGTCATCAGGAAAGCACAGGGCCTGGCCATTGTGGATGCTGCAGATGCTGCTGGTCCTCTGGGCTCTGAAGTCCTGAACCTTTCCCTCTATGTTCTCTGAAGACCATGTCATGAGCATCTATCTTAAATAGGGAAAAATACTAGTTTCCTTTTTCTTAATGCCCTCCCCTCACTTCCCAATTGTCTTTTCACTTTCTTGAACTCATTCTCTACTTGTGTCTGGGAATTTTTTGTAAACATTTTGGTTTTCGTCTTTGCTTCCCCTTTCACTGTTGCCCTCAGAAAGCTGTTTTACAGATTTTTCTTTTTATAAATAGAACTGACATTAACTATTGCTCCACAGATACACATCCCACGTTTGAAATTTATACATCTATTGTAAACATAAAATTTCCTCCAAAATTGTATTTTAAAGTGATTGAAATTATATTATATTTATATTATAATTTATATTATATTTATATTAATTTGTTTTTTATCTATATCATTTAAATTAATACTTAAATCATAATGTAAGGTATGATATAAATTGTTTATAAATTAAAAGTATTGATATACATCAGCTTGCCTTCGTTAACTCTAATATTAATTTATAAACAGTGTATCTTCTCTATTCATCCAATAATTTTCATGCCATTATGAGAATTTGACGTGTAAAGGCTGATGCTCAATCTTGGTGAGCTGAATTTGATTCCTGGAATCCTTGAAACAGAGAAACCGACTCTTGTAAATTGGACTCTGATGACCACATTCATACTTGGTGAGCTTGTGCCCACACACACACAATGCATATGCACGAAGACCCTCACACCATAACAAACATACACACTCACACAGATACATACTCGCTCATTCATGAGCTCACATACACACTTTCACATATACAATGCCACAAATATACAAACATACATATATATACATAACATCATACACACTCACACATATACACAGGTAAACATTCTCACACAAATGCACACACACTCACAGACACAGAGAGAAATACAGATACACATTCACACAAATATGTACACATATACTCACACAGACAAAAACAAGTAAATAAACATGTATACACACTCACATATACACGCACATGCACACACAATCCACGTGATTACACAACACACACACATATCAACACACTCCACCACACGTGCATACACACATACGTGCAGTCTCTCTCACACATAAAAAAATATTTTCAACACATAAAGACTCATACACAAACACATGAGTACACACAAATATACACATTCCCACACTTAGAAACATATACACATATCATCATTTAAACATAATCACTCATACACATACTCAAATAGACACTCAAATGACTGTGTCCTTTGCATTACAGAAGCTTCTCAGTTTCAGGAGGTCCCATTTATTAATTGTCTATCTCAGTGTCTGTGCTACTGGTGTTATGTTCAGGAAGTAGTCTCCTGTACCAATTCGTTCAAGGGTACCACCAACTTTCTCTTCTAAGAGGTTCAGTGTGGCTGGATTTATGTTGAGGTCTTTGATCCATTTGGACTTAAGTTTTGTGCATGGTGATAGACATGTATCTATTTGTAATCTTTTACATGCCAGCATCCAGTTATGCCAGCACCATTTGTTGAAGATGCTTTCTTTTTTTCAGTATATAATTTTAGCTTCTTTGTCAAACTCAGGTGTTCGTAGATGTCTGGGATAACATCAGGGTTTTCAACTTGATTCCAATGGTCTACCTGTCTATTGATGTGACAATACCAAGCAGTTTTCAGGACTATGGCTCTATAATAGAGCTTGAAATCAGAGACTGGTGATGCCTCCGGAAGTACCTTTATTGTATAGTGTTGATTTAGCTATCCTGAGTTTTTTTGTTTTTCCATATAAAGTTGAGTATTGTTCTTTCAAGGTGTGTGGAGAATTGTGCTGGTATTTTGATAGGGATTGCATTGAATCTGTAGGTTGCTTTTGGGAAGATTACGATTTTTACTATGTTGATCATATCTACCCAAGAGCATGAGAGATCTTTCCATTTGCTGTTATCTTCTTTAATTTCTTTCTCTAAAGACTCAAAGTTCTTGTTATACAGGTCTTTCACTTGTTTTGTTAGTATTACCCCAAGATATTTTATGTTGTTTGTGGATATTGTAAAGGGTGATGTTTCTCTGATTTTTTTCTCAGTCCATTTATCACATGTATATAATAGGGCTACTGGTTTTTTAGAGCTAATCTTCTATCCTGTCAATTTGCTGAAGGTGTTTATCAGTTTTAGGATTTCCCTGGTAGAATTTTTTGGGTCACTTGTGCAAACTATCATGTCATCTGCAAATAGTGAAAGTTTGACTTCTTCCTTTCCAATTTGTATCCCCTTGATCTCCTTTTGTTGTCTTATTGCTCTAGCTAGTACCTGTACAATATTGAGAGATATGGAGAGAGTGGACAGTCTTGTCTTGTTCCTCATTTTAGAGGAATTGCGTTGAGTTTCTCTCCATATGTTTGATGTTGGCTGTCGGTTTGATGTATATTGATTTTATTATGATTAGTTATGTTCCTGTTATCTGTGATCTCTCCAAGACCTTTATCATGGAGGGGTGCTGGATTTTGTCAAACGGTTTTTCAGCATATAGTGAGATAATTATGGGATTTTTCTTTTTCAGTTTGTTTATATAGTGGATTACATTGATGGATTTTCGTATGTTGAACCATCTCTACATCCCTGGGATGATCATGGTGGTTGATTTTCCTGATGTGTTCTTGGATTCGATTTGCCATTATTTTATTGAGTATTTTTGCATCAATATTCATGAGGCAGAATGGTCTGTAGTTCTCCCTCTTAGTTGTGTCTTTGTGTGGCTTCAATACCAGGTAATTATAGACTCGTAGAAACAGTTTGCTGGGCGGTGGTGGCGCACGCCTTTAATCCCAGCACTCTGGAGGCAGAGAGAGGCGGATCTCTGTGAGTTCGAGGCAGGGTTGGACCGATAGCCTCCAAAACAATACAGAGAAACCCTGTCTCGTAAAAACCAAAAAAAAAAAGAAAGAAAGAAAGAAACAGTTTATGGCCCTACTGCTTTTATTGGAACACTTTGAGGAGTATTGGTATTAGCTCCTCTGTGAATTTCTGGTAGAATTCTGCACTGAAACCATCTGGGCCTGAGCTTTTTTTGGTTGGGAGATTGTGACAACTGCTTCTATTTCATTAAGGGTTATAGGTCTATTTAAATTGCTTATCTGTGCTTGATTTAATTTTGGTATGTGATATCGAACGAGAAAAATTGTCTATTTCCTTTCAATTTTTTAATTTTGTGGAGTACAGATTTTCAAAGTATGACCTGATGATTCTCTGGAATTCCTCAGTGTCCATTGTTATATCCCTCTTTTCATTTTTGATTTTGTTCATTTGCATGTTCTTTCTCTGCCTTTTTGTAGGTTTGGATAAAGGTTTGTCTATCTTAATGATTTTCTCAAAGAACTAACTCTTTGTTTCATTGATTCTTAGTATTGCTTTTTTTGTTTCTACTTTATTTATTTCAGCCTTAAATTTGATTATTTCCTGGCATCTACTCCTCTGGGGTGAGTTTGCTTCTTTTTATTCTAGAGCTTTTAGTTGTGCTGTTAATTCTCTAGTGTGACTATTCTCCACTTTCTCATGTGGGCACTTAGCATTATGAACTTTCCTCTTAGCACTGCTTTCATAAGTTTGGGTATGTTGTGTCTTCATTCTCATTGAATTTTAGGAAGTTTTTAATTTCTTTTTTCAAAATTTCTTCCCTGATCCAGGAATGATGCAATTGTACATTGTTGAATTTCCATGAGTTTGTAGGCTTTCTGGAGTTTGTGTTGCTGTTGAATTCTAACTTTAAACCATGGTGACCCAATAGGATACAGCGGGTTATTCCTTGTCTTTTTTTTTTGTATCTGTTGAGGTTTGCAATGTTGGGAGTATGTGGTCTATTTTTGAGAAGGTTCCATGTGGCACTGAGAAGAAGGTATATTCTTTTGTTTTTCGATGGAATGTTATGTAGATGTCTGTTAAACCCAATTGGGTCATAACTTCTGTTAGTTCCTTTGTTTCCTTGTTGAGTTTTTGTTTGGTGGCCCTGTCTAGTGGTGAGAGTGGGGTTTTGAAGTTTCCCACTAAAACTGTGTGAGGTTTTATGTGTGATTTGAGTTTTAGTAATGTTTCATTTACAAATATGGGTGCCTCTGTATTGGGGGCATAGAAGTTCAGAATTGAGACTTCATCTTGATGGATTTTTCCTGTGATGAATATGAAATAGGCATCTTCATCTCTTTTGATTGATATTAGTTTGAAGTATAATTTGTTAGATATTAGGATTGCTACACTAGCTTGTTTCTTGGGTCAACTTGATTGGAAAATCCTTTCCCAACAATAAAAATTTTTTGAAAACATAAAGAATGAAAAAGGGAAAGCAGATTCATTTTGTAATCATTTATAAACATAGAAAATAAAGTGCTTCTATATATACTTGCTACCTCAAAGAAAATATTAAACTATATCAAACAATGATGAAGTGCTAAATCACACAATAACTAACTAACTAAATAAATAAATAAATAAATAAACAGCTTTGAATGGATGAAGAACAAATGTCTTCCAGATAGACACAGTATTCTTCATTGAGTTTGTGCTAAAATAATGAAGCATCATGAGACTGCAGAATCTGAGCAGTGAGGATAAGTGTCCTAGTCCAGGAGAGTCCAATACACTTTGCTCAGGACTTATTCCTCCTCCTCACTCAATCTTGCCAGCAAGTTGGCTGAGGAAGACAGGGCTCTCCAGACTTCTGCTCTGACCACCTCCCAGGCACAGGGGCTGTGGTTCTTCTCTCTCAGGTACACAGTGATCCTCTGGAAGTATTTCCTCACTGCCACCAGGGAGTCTTCCTGGCTCAGGGCAGGTTCCTGCTCCCCAACCTGCTGCATCAGACAGGCTTGCAGGTCACTGAGCTGCTGGTGGAGGCCACTGCAGAATGTGTCTAGGAGGGCTGTCTCCCAAGCAGCAGATGAGTCCTTGGAGCTGAAGAGGATCAGGACCTGCTGGGTCAGCTCCTGCAGGA